TGAGATTTTGGAGCCAGAGGCTGTGCAAAGCCACAGTGACTTAATAATCACACCCCATCTAAGTCAAAGGGCTCCAACAGGCAAAGGGAGATTTCTGTTCAAAAGCATCAAAGACCAAAATAGATTATCTGGTTACGGTAACATATGTAATGGATTTCAGTGGAGTCATTAAAACAGCCCAAGAATGAACACACAAGAATGACATGAGAAAGAATATACCACATGGGCATAAACTGACTCTAAACCGCACAAATGCAATCAGTATATGCATCTTGAATGTACCATTTTGCCTCAGTACATCCTTTGGGCAAAAAGGCCATCCACAGTGTTAACTGTTTCTTTGGCTCTTCTCCACCCCTCAGAGACAATGAGTCAATCCACCATAGGTGTGTGATCCTGGGTATGCTGGGTAAGAAAAGAAACTGCTGAGTCACTGTGATTCTATCTTAAGTGGCTGAACATTCTGGGTTCACATTTATCTGCAATGAACAGTAGTAGCTGGGAGACACTGGGACTAATAAATTCTCTCATGTAAGTGGCAAAATCCATGCTGAAATCCATGGTCTGTGACCTGTCTCTGCAACTTTTCTCTTGCCCTTGTCATTTCTGTCTATGGGATCCTTCTTTCTAGAACATTCTCCTCGATCACTCACGCTCACTGAGGACCTTAAACACAACACTCACTCTACAAAGACAACTGACCAGCAGCACAGCAAACAAAACCAGAGCTCCTTTCACTAACCACAAGATAAGGCTTCTAAGAGCCTTCTTCATGGAAAGCTACACCTCCCCCTTCTGTTTCTGTCCCCTTTTGTGTACACTGACAGCCTTCCAACTCTACTAGGAAATACTGTTTCATAGTGTTCTCTTCTGCTTTCCCCTCCCAAGGAAAGGCAACCATTTCAGATTTACCCGTCAGTGAACAGATACCAAAGGATCTTCTCCTGAGTTTAAACACCATTCCTTAATGTTATACAGAGATACCCCTCCAAGAGTAAGTCTTAAAAGCTGACCATGAAGCCACGAGTTGTGCCACACACCCGTAATCTCAGCACACACAAGGCTAGAGCAAGGAGATGATCACAAGTCTGAAGCCAGGCTGGGCTACGCAGTAAGACCTTCTGGAAAACACAACAAATAAGTGCTTTCTATGAACAAGTTGTTCAGTCATAAGAGAGCTTATATGGGACCAGAGAGATGTCTCAACGATTCAAAGAGCTGGCTATGCAGGACAACCTGAGTTCGAGTCCCAGAACCCACAGTAGGAGAGAGCTCCAGAAGTTGTCCTCTGACCTACACCTACACACACACTACCACTTGGAATGCACACCCACTTGCTACTCCTAAACAGGCAAATGCATCAATTGCAACCTATTACTGCTTCATCATTTAACCGGTAACTTAAGAAGAGACTTATGTAGCATGGGAAGTATAACAATATCCATCTATGGACCAATCAATAGGACGGGCACATGACTCCAAGAAAGGGCTATTCAGACAGCCTGACAGAAGCCAAGATGAAGGCAAATGGTGTGTTCATCCTTATTTTTAAAGAGATGTTGGTTGGAGAGAGAATCTCCTCAGGAATGTTATCACTGATACATATCTGGAATATAAATCATGCTAGACCCTGCAGCCTACTTGATAAAAAAAAAAAAAAAAAAAAGAAAGAAAGAAAGAAACTGAAAGTAAACAAACAATTGGTCAGTGTGTGATCTCCTAGGAGGATGTTTAGTTATCATTATTAGAGAACTGTTTTTAATCCTTCCTATCAGCACAGAGTTATAAGCCCCACAGTTCTGGAACCAAAATAACCATAAATGAAACACTCTCAGGGGCGGCCACACATTCTGTCTGTGGGGTTTCAGCAAATTCACAGGCGGCTTACATGAAAGGGAGGAATAGGGAGTCAGGGACCTTCCAGGGTGAGTTCAACTCCGTCACAAGTGAGATCAGGCAAACCGATCTAACTTCTGGGCCCCTGGCATACTCCACTGAGAGGAGTAGGGTTAAAATATGTAATGAAGCTCTCTCAAATTGCTGTTACATGGTTCCAATATTACAACACAGGTTCCAAAAGCCCTGGATTTCCCCAACCCTTGTAGTCAAAAGGTTGCAATGTGATTTCATTTTGGGGATGACCGTGAGAAAACTAAATCCCAGGAAGGCTTAACAGGCCTATAGGGCAAACACTTCTGTCAACTGGTTTTACAAGGAAAATAAGCACTTAAAAGACACTTCAGAGCCAGGTTTGGTGTCACATGTCTTTCATCCCAGCACTTGGGAGGCAGAGGCAGGTGGATATCTGGGAGTCCGAGGGGAGTGGGGTCTATGTAGTGAGTTCCAAGACAGCCAGGATTATATACTGAGAGCTTATGTCAAACAAACAAACAAAAAATCCAGGTCATAACAAAACCATTCTAGAGACTAACACAGTGTGTATGTCTGTGTCTATGTGCGTGTGTACGCACACACACACTCTGTCTCTGTAAATTTACTCCCACACAAGTTAAACTAAAGGTTCCATTAAAAAAAAAAAAAAAAAAAAAAACAAAGTGGTGAGGCATGGCGATGGCACTCAGGAGACAAAGGCAGGCAGATCTCTCTGAGTTCAAAGCTAGTCTGATCTACAAATCAAGTCCAGGACAGCCAGGGCTCTGTTATACAGAGAAACCCTGTCTTGAAAAACCAAATATAAAAAATAAAGTTTGTCCCCCACCCCCCAATAAGGCCTCATGTATGTTGAATAAGAGCATAAACCTATTTTCCTAACTAGGAAATTCTCATCCTAACAGAAACAAAATATTTATGATTGAGTTTGAAGTGCCTGATGGAAACAGACCCAACTAACCTCCCAGCTATTACGGCAAGCCTCATTATAATATGGATTATAGCTCTACTAGCCCAGGGACAGGGCTTTTAATGTTCTCTGGGAGATAAAGAATTAATCAGCAACCCAGAAAAGAAGTTGTCTAAAAATGGATGATTTAGTCAAAGTAATTCCATTGTCTCTAGAACTGTGCCCTCAATCACCCAGCATCAAAACCCTCTACAGCATCAAACAAATTCTATGTGGTTAAAGAGTCAAAATGTTCTTCTGGCTGTTATGGGAAGCAGAAAAGGGCTGACTACAAATCAGTTATGTTTTAGCTCCACAATGAACATGAATTATGATAATTTAGACATTCTGGTGGTTAAACCAAAAAGGCAGGAAAATCAATACTTTTGAGTTCCAGCAAAAGTTAAGTTTGTGGCACCAGAATTGCAAGACAGGAACATGGACATGATCTTAAATTTATTTCTGAACTTCCCTGCCTCCACCAAAATCAATGACACTATTTCTCATCCCTTACTGCCGAATCACAATAGCTGGGAAGCCTGGAAACACCGAATTGGCTGATAAGCAAAAATCTCTAGGAAGGAATCCTGAACAAAGTCAGACACCAAACTTCCTTTACTAGGCATGCTTTTCATTGTACGGGCACCAAGATCTATTTATGATGCTTTTTGACTGACACCCACAAGCATTCTGGCTGACACAAACTTTGCAGATTGTAGGGAAGTCCCTGTGAGCTTTTTAAGTAGCCCAGATGAGCAAAACACTCAGAACACTGCCATAATGAGCACCTCTCAGGCGCTCATAAATTCTTTCATTCCCAGCAATCAAGAAGCAGCTGTTAAAATCCAGGAATCTTCCCAGTAGCCCATCTGAAATACCTCCGGGCTGCCCGGAGAAGCTTCTCAACTGCTTTCTTCTCTCTCTCCCTCCCCCATCCCAGGAGTGCCAGCCTGGCAGGATAAGGATGACCCAGGAAGGAGGGGAGAGGGAGTGTAGAGGGGAGTAGCGGATCTGGTGAAAGCAGACACGCAAGACCCCCCTTCTTTTTCACCACAAAGAGAACCAATCCTCAGTGCCAGCCAACCAGGTTAGATCTTCCCTCCCCCAGCACATTAACTTCGGTAGTCTGATGAGGCTGGCATTTCTAGAGTTCGCGACCTCGGCCACCCTGAGACTTTTCCAAAAAGACTCTGAACCAGCAGCTAGCGGCATCTCAGCTTCTCTACAGGTTTAGTAAAACTCGGCTTGCCTTTTACCTTTTAACCCGCCGGGACGCTACTCCTGGGGTCAAGTTCAAGATGAAGGTGCCCTCCTCACCTCCCCGAGTTCACTCTGCGGGGAACTGTAATACCCGCTGCTCCAGGCACACCGGAGCCGAGGCAGCCGGGAGAAGCCTGTCACAGCCCGGAGTCCTCCGCCCTCGGTCGCGGCGCCGCGTTTCTTCTACCTGGCCAGGGCCGCATTTCCTCCCCGGAGCCTTTACACAATAAGTCAAGTTAAGTTTTAGGAACGCCGGTCCAGAGATCTTGCCGTCTGCAGACTCGCTACACAATGCCCCAGGGCTTCCTTCCCGGCCAGCCGTTCCGGAAAGCCGCCGCGCCGAGCCCGGGGAGCCCCCCACACCCACCCAAAAGTCCTCCGGGAAGAACCCGCATCCTCTTGACGCCGCCCAAGGACAAGGGGACTCTCAATCTTGACACGACCCTGCACTCGGCTGGCACCAACAGACCCTCGAGGTCCATTCCCAAGGTCCACACCCCAACACCAACCCCACCAAGGCAAGAAATGCGCGTGCACCCGCGAGCCGCAGCCTGCGCGAGCCAAGCACTCACTTTCAGCCCACAGCGGGCGATACGGGTTTCCCCGGCTCAAGTTCGCTCGGCAACTTCGCGACCCGCGCGCCGCAGCGACGCTCGAGACCCCGCGGTGCCAGGCACCCCGCCGGCACGTCTCCCTCTCCCAGGTGCCCGGCGCAGCCCAGGCCCCGTCTAGCCGAGCGAGGGGCGGCTGGGAAAGCCGTGGGCGCCGCGTGATCCCGGTGTCCCCCCACCCCACCCCACCCCCCCAGCCCGGCTCTGCTGCAACCCGCTCCTCCCGGCGCGCAGGAAACGGCCTGCACCGACTCCCCGGCGGCGCCTCGTCCCAGGCCGGGAGCTCCGGCATGCCCGAGCCTATTCCCGGAAAGCTCCCGCTCTCCCCGGCGGAGGGGGGGGGACACCCGAAACTTTCCCACCAGCCTCGCTCTCGTTCCCCGGGCTGCTCCCCGGGACCCTTCCTCCCCGCCGACTCCGGCAAGAGACCGGGCTGCGGGTTCCCGGAGGCCCGCAGCGGCGCCCGGGCACCGGGAGTTACCTGGCGGGAAAGTTTCCAGCTTCCGGCGCGGCTCCCACCCCGGGGGCCGGGCCTCGGGGCGCGGCGGGCTGGGGCGCTCGGCGGCTGCGGCTCCTGCGGCTGCCGAGCCGGGCTCCCGCAGCTGCCGCCGCCGAGACAGCGCTCCGGCCCGTCCCCCCGCCTCGCTCGGCCCACACCGGGACCTCATTGGCAGCGCGAGTCCCCGCCCTTGCGCGTGTTCCGGAAGGCACCTTCCCTGGGCGCGCCCGCCGGGCCCCTCCCGGCCGGAGCTGCGGGGCTCGGGGACCCGCTGGGGCGCGACGAGCCAACTTTCCGCCCGGCGCCTTCGCTCCATCCTCTCCCAGCGTGGTCCCTGCGCGGGGCCGAGCTTCCCTGGGGAAGGTTGCTCCCGGGGGGGCCTCGCCTGAACCCCTGTGGGACAGGACCGGGCGTGTGATTAGTCGCCCCCTCCCCCTTTTTAGCCGTTTTTTAATCAGTAGAGTAGCCGCTGCCCTCCGAAAGCATCCGTGGAGGACATATGGGAGCAATTAGCCAAGCTGAAGTTTCCTCGGATGCCTTAGGGTGGCTTTGTTGGCTTCTCTTCCCCTCGCTTAACTAAACACAAACAAACACACTTAAAGATGGAAAGTGCATCTCGCCCCACTGCACCTTTTAGTTCCCAGAAAGCGAGTTTGGGGTGCTTGGGGATCGGTGAGCAAGGCCTGGGGGTCTGCTGCCTCCTCGAACCCTGCCTGGAGGTGTTGTCGGGGCTAAGTCCACTGGCCGGCGTCTAGCTTCCTCGTTGGGGGGGGAGGAGGGGGACAGACAAAGATACTATTATTAAGTAGGCTGGCGGCACTAAATTAAACTCCCTAGTTCCCAAAATGTTATTCCCAACAGAACAAAAGTTCGAGAATGGCCTAGAGATCTGGGAGACCTGGGACCTCCAGAATCTCCCAGGAATCCAGGCAGCCAATTTATACGTAGAAGGAGGCTCTGTTCCCAAAGCCCTTTGGACCCCCTTTCTTTGCAGAAGGATCAACTAGAAATTCCAACAGGAATTGCTCACAGGCCGCCCATCTGTGTGCGTTGAGTGAAGAATACAGAAGTTGCTATAAATGGGTTTACTGGCGACCCCTAACCTTTGCTGTGGCAAACCGGCCTTTAAAGACAACTGTGTTTTAAACAAGTTTCCCTATAAAAACTTCAACCTCACGTATAGCTTCCCAATATAAGGATAGCTGCAGGAATGGTGTTCGTGTTTAAAGTTCCTGTGAAAAGCAACAGGAAGCAAAAGGCCGCTCAGTCTCTCTATAATAAATAAAAGATGCCTGAAATATGCTGGGTATTTTTCACTCGTACGTTCGAAGACCTGATTATCACTATATTTGTATTTGAGCAGCAGAAGTATCTCAGCCTTTCCTCAAGCAAGGCAGGACATGAATATGCAAAGAAAGTAAGAGCTTATTAAGCCAGGAAGGTCATGGACATCTTCTTCTGCTCTGAATCGCCTGGTTGTTAAAAACCAGGGTGATGTTTGATTAACTTCTCCCGAATTGCAGTGTGTAAAACTGATCAGTCTTTGAACCACAGATAACAATGCCAGAGGACAACGATAACCCAATGACCCAAAGAAAACACAAAAATTCAGTACTCCAGTCTGAAATGCTAAGATGTTAAGAGAAACTCCTAAAGGAAATAACAGGTCCTGCTTTGGGCTTGTTTGTCATGGATACAGTGAGTGGATGGTGGATGAAATTCATACATTTTTTGCACATTCTTCTTGGACTATCTTTACTTATCTTTCCAAACTTTAATAAAATTGCTTAAATTGAGCTTTGAGGGCAATCAAGTTTCTTCCTCACTACCCTCAGAATTGCCTGGGTAACAAGTAGAAAAATCACAGAAAGTAGGTATGCTAATCTCTTGCATCATCTTTATTCTGGGTTGGAAAGGGTTTGGTTTTATAGTTTCAGAAGTCAAGGGCACTGAGGAAGTAATTTCATCACTGCCTCTTTGGGGGCACTTAACATTCTACACAGGCAGAAAGCTAGCAATCTAAAATGTGTACACAAAGGGGTCCTTTCCCCCTTCGTTCTCTAGTGTTTATATAATCCAAACTACATGTTATTAAGCATAATCCGATCTGCTGCTTTCACCGGCTACCATTATATACAGTATGTAGTACCACGAACATCAAAGCTGTCTTAAGCTGTGGGTGAAAATGATACATGTTAGAAAAGTCAAGACCAAACATACCCAGAGTTTAAAAAAAAATGGGTAAGAGAGAAAAGGGGGGAGGAGCACCTCATGAAGATCTGTTCTGTAAGGACAACCAGAGACTTTCCTAAGCATCTTACTATGTAACGTAGTAGCTGAACATAGGTTCAAACAATAAATTTTGTACTTCTAAAAGAAAACTGCTTTTCCCTTTTTAAAAAAAAGTGTCTTTAGTTAGCGGTTAGCCAACTTTGCATTTTCAGGAGGCTCGGGAACTGCCACTGGCTTTTCTCGGGTCTCTCCACTCATCCAGTTTTAAAATTCACTAATTCCTTGTCTGTTCATAACAACTGGAGAGAGAGAGAACAGTAGATTGCACAGATATTATGTGCCACACACATTCCTCAAATATACATGCGATATACTAGGTTCCATTTTTAAATTTTCTGTCACTTCGCCAACAACGTAGCAGCAGACCGAAAGAAAACAGCAAATATTAAACTGGTTATTTTACCGTACAATTTATTGCCCAGGGCAATAGACCGAGGAAGGCATGAGAAAAGAATGTGTAAGTGTAACCCCCCTCGCCCTTGGTCAGATTCCTAAGTACTTCTATTTTAAATCAAGCCTAAGTTAAGATCCCAGCCAGTGTTTATCATGGAATGTGTAGCATAGGACACACAGTAAGAAGTAAAAAAGTTTAAAACTTAAATACAAAAGCCAAGATGAAATTTAAAAATTAATAAGGGAAGGTAGGAAATCCAAATGTAAGCACGCACTTCTCTCCATCTTTGGAGGGTCTTTTAATATTTACAGAATTCATTCTTCTCCTTTAGTTTGTTCATCTCTCCTCTGCTTTTTAACATTCTGAGAAAGAAAAACATATATATACACATATACATATATATAGACACGGGGAATAATAAAATAAATTGGGTATAGTTGGAAATCAGTTGGGAAAAGCAATGAAATTAAATACTCCAATACAGTGCCTGCTTGGGCAATGATCCCTGGTCTCACATGTTTGCTAACACCACGGTCATATGGGCTGGTGGCAGACATTCATCCAGGGCTACAGAAACCCATTGCTGTGCTGAGTTAGCCAGGCTGTTAAATTAAAGGAGTCCCAGGATTTATAAACCCCTCCCAGGCCGAGTGCACAGCTTGCCAGTGTTGTAGGAATCCATCCAATGCAGGGTAGGCAGTGAGTTAGTTAAAGTGATAAGAAATCCAATGAGGGAAGAAAGTAGGAGAAATAGACTCAAGGGTTTGCATCGCCTTATGAGATATGGAAACAGAGTTGGATCCCTGAGACCAACAGAATAGAAAAGAACCACCTCCCACAAGCTGTTCTCCAAATGCTTTATTTATTTATTTATTTAAACTTCATTTATTTATTTGTTTGTTTGTTTATTTATTAAATGTAATAATAATTTGAGAGTAGCTGAAGTTCTGGAAAAGTCTAGCTTAAGATAACATGCAATGTGACTAATTATATTGCTGTTGTGATGCTGCTGTGTAACCTAGGCTGGCTTTGAAATTCACATCCTCCTGCCTCAACCTCCCCAGTGCTGGGATTACAGGAGTACACTACCAACACTGTCTGACTAGGATTTTTGTTTTGTTTTGTTTTCGACACAGTGTTTCTCTGTGTAGCCATGGCTGTCCTGGACTCAGTTTGTAAACCAGGCTGGCCTCAAACTCAACGAGATCCACCTGCCTCTGCCACCCTTAGTGCTGGGATTACAGGCATGTCTCACCACATCCGGCTCTGACTAGTATTTTGAAGATATTTATTTTTTATATTTTATTTTATTTTATACTTATTTTATTTCTATATTTATTCAGATCTTCTGATTGGACAGAAACAGAGTTTTCCTTTTTCAGAAAAAGTAAAGTAAGCAATTGGGGACTAATCCAACCGCCGTATGCTGAATCTACTTTTGATAATATGAAAGTAGTCTGTTAATTTTGAGCATAAAAGGTATATCTTATAGTCTCCACCTTAGGAGTGTGGCTTCTTTTTTTTTTTTCCCACCAAGCTTTGAAAGAAAAGGCACTGAGATTAGAATTGTAACCTCTAGGCTCTTGTGCTAGCTTTTGCATGTCTGTGATTATGGCAATTCATCTACTTTTTCTGACCTGGGGTCCCGGTCTACAAAATAAGAAGAGTATAAAATCCCTGCCTTACAGGTCTGTTAGAAGAATAAACAAGCTAAGATTTGTTAAAAAAAAAAAAAAAAAAAAAAGTAAAAAATTGGAAAGTCATCTGTAGAGGTTCATTTTGAGCTAATTGACAAGATGTTTTTCCTGTCTTGTTACCAGAAACCAGTATGCCTTGAATAATCAGAACAATGCCAAGTGCTCACATTTGCACTCTGAGGAAGGGTGACTTAAAGATGATTCAGTGGTAGATAATAACATCAAGTTCTCAGGGTCCCATCTGGGGGTAAATTGGTAGTTCTTGTCTCAAAAACAGTAGCATACAGGAACCATTTACAGAAATATGATTTTTCTCCCCTGTTAGTGCTAAAGAAGAAGAAGTATAGGTACACATCCTCTACTGATTTACCTCATTTTATACAAATCAATATACAGATTGTATGTTAGTCTGTTTGTTTGTTTGTTTCGAGACAGGGTCTCATTATATAGCCCTGGCAGGCCTTGAACCCCCTATATAGACTTGACTGACCTTCAAAAAGAGCCACCTGTCCCTGCCTTCCAGTGCTTGGATTAAAGATGTCACCACATCCAGCTTGGAAATTCTTTTCTTGGTTGTTTTGCTTTGGTTTGGTTTGGTGATAGGGCTCACGGCGTATTTCTGGCTATCCTGGAACTCACTATGTAGACCAGGCTGTCCCTGAACCTTAATGTCTTTGCTGGGATTAAAGACATGCACCAACACACCGGCCTTCAGCTTGGGAATTCTTAAAGTAATATATTAATGTAAATAAAATGTTTCCTTTAAGAAATCGTAGCTGAAATTTTCTACAAGAGCCATTACTATCTCCTTTATATTACTTATTGATGACTGTCCCTTCTGTCCTGTGAAATGAACCTAAGTGCTAGAGAGATTAGGAACTTGAACCCATACAGTTTTGTAAGAGCAGGTGTTAAGCAAAACCACTTTGTGTCTGAACAGGGTTCCAACACTTGGAAGGCTAAGGCAGAGGGGAGGCCATATTTGAGGCCAGCCTGGGACTTTAACTGCCTTGCAAAACAGTTAAGCACTATGGC